CACCGTCCAGGTATCCAGCCAGCTCAGCCTTCAATTCCCGGAGCTGGGCCTGATGGGAACTCCTTGCTCGACGGGCAAGGTGCTTGAACTTGGTCACCTCGGCTACAGACAGGCAAAGGAACCCATTTCGATCGGAACAAATCCCACTGTAGGTATGTGACCAGCCGCAAGCTTCCGGATTGCTTGGCCAGTTCGACAGGCCCAGTTCTGGACGGCAGGTGCACTTATGAGCACACCTTTAGGCAAGATCTTGTTGTTGTTCACCAAATGCAATATCGCATCGCTGTATATATAAGCGCTGTGGCGCTTGCGCGACTTCAGCTGTCCTCTCACTGCTGCAGCAATGACCTTAATATGTTGAGCAACAAGCTTTGATCTGTATGCACTACGTTCCATATGCTATGATATATTCAGGTGGGGCACTCTCGGGTTGGCGATGCAATCTTTGCGTGAAACCACCTTCCTTTTTGTGAGCAGCTTGCCCGATGGGTCGATCACCATGTTCAAGCCTGCCTCAGATTGCAAATATTGAGCTGCAAGAACTCATGCAATACAACATGCCTTATATAATTCTTCAAAGGTGCAGAGATGAGGGACGGCTCCTTGTTCAGCTCCTCCGACACACGTACAGCCTCAGAGCCTGGTTCAAAATGAACCTTTTCAGGAATCACAGCAGCCATGGCGAGCAAAAGGCGAACCCCACTGCACAGGAAGTTTGCAATGACCGAGGTCAGGACCTCAGGAACCCTAGCTTTTATTTAGGTCTGCAGGGCATGATCTGGCATCTGACACATGCCGAGCTCGAACAAAAAAACTGAAGCACTCGTCAATCTTATCCTGCATACTGCGCAAGCACTCACTGCACTGCACACTGCTTCAGTTCCATGCTCCTGCAAAAACACATTGCATGAAGCCGCCGACTGGCGCCTGAGTCATCGCCTGGATCACGTGTGACCCTGCAGATCTTCGGCTTGTACTTTGCCGGCCGAGGCATCCTGCACGGAAGGTGCTCGTTGGAACAATTAAAACAACACAGAGCAGCCAAACCTTCTATGGAGGCCATACAGCAAATCTAGAATCCCGATTGTTTCCTGACCCTGGCATTCTGAAACTCTGACCGGAACCTGTTCATTCTGTACCGACCTTGATGCACCATCGCCGCTTCACAGCTTCACACCAGTCCTGCACAGCACGAGCTGTTCACACACCGTTTCTCGACACTCTTGACATTCACAGAACCCATATGTGCAGCAGAAGGGCCAAGCTGCATAGAAAAACCTCAGAACGTCGCGCTCGAAGTTGTCGAAGAGGAAAAAGGTCCTCCAAACAAAGTATTTGTCCAGGTCTCTGTTTGTCGGAAAACTGAACTTCAAGACCGCCCGGTCCTGCCCACAAATCTTGCAACGGAGCACCATGCACCCCACGTGTGGGGCCCGCAGGGGTTGCAACTCCGAACTGACAGCTTGTGGAACATGCACTTTCACACATTTATTTGTCAATGCCACGAGCTTTCAACTCGCTTGCCTGCACATGTAGAGCTGCAGACATGTAGAGCCAGCTGCACACACCGACTCGGGCAGAGTTTGCGGACACGATCACTGCAGCATGTGCATCTCTGCGATCTTGCGAACTGCACTTGCAAAACTGCATGCAGACTTCGATCGACCTGCAGAAAGAATTTATTATCACATCTAGGGAATTCAGGAATTAGGGTTTTTCTCTCCCGCACTCGTTCCGCCGAAGGTCAAATCTTCCCTACGCATGCATGAGCGAAATTGGGGGAGGGGTCCCGGCATAGAGCATCATGGGCAAGATATTCTGCCCAAAATATGTCGAAATGCATGAGTTGAGCCAATTCGGTGCAGTTCGGTCTTGTTCGATCCCGTGCACAACGACCCATGGCCGGTTTAAGGGACATTTCAAACGTACCTTATTGAAAAGCGCAACGTCAGCTTTTTTAGGGGTCAAGCCGTCCCCAAGGTGGAAACCCTCGTTGTTTTGCACGACAAGGGGGGCGCGCGCGCGCACCTGCTGTTTCTTCTGCCTGTTTGATACTCGAAAACCAACCCTTGGAAACCCTCGTTGTTTTGCACCCTATCCTGCAGGAGGAAAACAGTGGGGAAAGGCCAGCATGTTCAACGGCATCGCGGTTTTCGAGGCACTCGTTGACAAGTGCAAGGATGAATCCCGGATGATGTGGGCATTGCAAACTATGAAGGACTTGGTGGTGTGCAAGCTCGCCCATCCGAAGGAGCTGAATGGCAAGGCACTTCGGCTCATGAAGAAGAAGTTTCTGCGCTGGTTTACGAGCACCTGGATGCAGAGCATATAGGCTTTGGCGTCGACGATTTGAAGCTGTTCGGGGGCGAGCTGTCGGAGCACGAGTCCTTCAGACAACTCTGTGGCTATCCAGGTGAGGCAGACCATGACATCGCCTGGCAGGCACACCTGAGCGCCTCTGCGCGAAAGGCAGTTGCACCCCTCCTGGAAGCTGTCCATGAAGGGGAGCTCTGAGCCCATGGAGATCGCGAAGACGGAGCCCTTCAAGGATCCCATGCAAAGATTGAGGAGCTGGTTGTCAAGGACGAGCCCAAGTTGGACGTCCAGGGAGAGCACGAGCGTGACAACGCGGCCCCGGAGAAGGTGGCCCAACGTCCTTCGCCGGAGGTCCTGGAGAAGGCATCGGAAGAGCATCGAGACGATCTCTGGGAGTTCCTGAATGTGTGCGTTGCTTTGCTGCAGTCAGCTCTTGTGCGGCTTGAATTTCATGCGCTTCTGTTTCCCCCGCATTGTTCAGGAGAAACTTGTTGCTCAGTTCTGGACCGCTGTGCCGGAAGGGGGTGGCAAGGCGGAGCTGGACACGGCCCTGAAGAACATGGTGCTTGCGGAGAGTTTTAAGAAGATGAGGGAAGTGGAGCAGGCACTCTTCTGGTTCGATTCCAAATCCAAGGGCGAATCGTCCTCGCACCCTCATCTGCGTCTGCCTGGATTCAACGCGAGCGTGCAGACATCGTTCAAGAATGCCCTGCAGGTGACGCTGGACATACTCCGGGCTCGTCAGCTGCCTCCGAATTTCCATGTGCCGTCGTACAGCTGCCTCGGCTTGTCCGAAACCGGCAGCGACACAGCCGAAAAGACATGCAGCCCCTCCATCTGCGGCACTCAGCCTTTGGTCGGACGCCTTTGCCGAAGAGCCTTCTCGGAGTAATTGCATAGCTGTGTCCAATTCTTTTTGATTGCCTCGGCATCGCTATTAACGAACAACGGCTGCAGCTGGTTGTCCAGGTGGCGGAATCCGTCCAGGAAGGCCACGTGCAGAGGCACGACAGTGGGACCGATCATGGTAAACCAGTATGACAGCCAGGATGTGTGGAAGCTGGCACCAAGCGATGAGAAGGCTCTGCTCGGCAAAGCTGGAAAAATCTTGAGCTCTGGCGGCCTGCCCGAGGCGATGCGGCCACTCCGAAGCTCTGTCTCTCTGGCCTCCAGCCGGCAACATGTTTCGGCATGCCAAGAGAGTATTACTCCGAAATCATTCATGCCTTCAATGTCGGCTTCGTCATCAATGCCGCAGAGACGGATGGCCTGTTGGCATTGCAGTGCCTGCTGGCGCAGCGGCCCTGCATATCGATTTGCCACACGCCGGAGCACGTGTCCCTGTTGCGAGGGCGACTGCTGGAGCTGACGTGGGCCGAGATGACAAATTCCAAGTCCTCCATTTATGAGGCCAAGATGCGCTTCGGCTGCATGGTAGGTTGTGTGTGTGTGTGCGCCCTGTTCTTTGCTTCTGATTTCCTAGCATGCAGCCCAGGGCGAAGATCGTGGATGGCATCCAGGGCGAAAAGGAGGAGGAGACTCCTGCAGAAAAGGGGGCCAAGAGTAAGGGCAAGGGCAAGGGAGGGAAGAAGGGCCAGGGAAAGGGGAAAGGCGGCAGGGGACGTGATCGGGTTCGATTGGCACAGGCACAGGAAGGCAAGACCCTGCCCAATTCCCCCAAGCGCAAATCCCGGAAGCAGATCCTGGAACGACTTAATTAAGCGACTCCGTGGTGTACAAGCAGCTGGTCAGCTGGTCAGGCAGCTGCTGATGTGGAAGAGCTCCCGTTGCAGGAGGACGTCTCGGCCAGTGAACGTGTGACCGTCGAAAGGTGTGATTTTCATTCTGTGTCACTCTTCGATCTTGGCAGATATGTCGTCAGGGGACCGGCTTGAGGTACAGATTCCTAATTGGCAGAGCATGCACGCATTTTGTGAGCCGCCCGTGGTTCATTCTGTGATGTCACTCTTCGATCTTCGCAGATATGTCATCAGGGGACCAGCTTGAGGTACAGATTCCTAATTGGCAGAGCACGCATTTTGTGTGCCGCCCGTGGTTCATTCTGATGTCACTCTTCGATCTTCGCAGATATGTCATCAGGGGACCAGCTTGAGGTACAGATTCCTAATTGGCAGAGCACGCATTTTGTGTGCCGCCCGTGGCAGATATGTCTTCAAGGGACCGGCCTGAGCTACAACTTCCATGTCGTGTGCCGCCCGTCGAGAAACGTGCAAAATGTACAGACACCGCATCGGCTGTGCTTCCAAGCATATGCGCAAAATCTACCACTGCGGCATCCTGCGCCATCCTTTCACATACTGCTGCGGCATCCTGCGCCATCCTGTGACATGTTGGAGCTCAGAATGCATGTTCTCTCAGGTCCCGGCCGCGGCTGCTTCCAGTCAGACTACGTTGCCAGCCCGGCATGCATGCGCAAGGGTTGGGATCTTCACCTTCTCATGTGCCCGCCGCAGACAGGGTCTGTCAGTGTCGCAAGCACGCACCTGGTCTACAACTGTATCTAATGCTAAATTCAGGATCCCTCAAGATCAATAGCAAGAACTTCTGCTAGTGCTCATCTACCCGTCTGCCCGACCCGATGCCCCCGCGGAGGAAGGCGCCGAAGCGGAATCGTACAGTTGTGGCTACAGCGAGTCCAGAGCAAGCTCTGGAGGATATTTTCAATGCCTTCATCCCCTTTGACACCCTCGCGGCAGGGGGTGACAGTGGGCTCCTGCTGCAGCGGATGGTGTTTGGAACTGTTTGCAGCGCGGGAGATCACCAGAGACTTCGGCGTGGCCTTCATCCCTGTCTTCGGGTGCGACATAGACCGCAGTGCTGCTGAGGTCTGCCGTGTGGCCCACACTCATACCTACTGGCATGAAGACTGTACACAGGACAGCTTCCTGCGTATGCCACAAGTGGACTTTTTCGCATGCGGCTTTCCCTGCCCTAGCTACAGCGTTCAGGGCGTGAGGCTGGGCCTTGAGGACCTTCGCGGACAGCTGATATTTTATATCATCCGATTCATAGCCATTCGTCGGCCGCATACCTTTGTCTTAGAGAATGTCAGCAACCTCTATCACGAGTTTCCAGAAGTTTTGTCTTGCTCCTGGAAATGCTTTCGGCAGTACCCGGGCAGCACGGTGGATCACATACATTACGAGGTCAGCTGGCAGAATTTGAATTGCCGGAAGCATGGGGGTCTCCCGCATCACAGGGAGCGGCTTTTCAAAGTGGGGGTTCCAAACGTGCCCAGCGGATGTTCCATGATGTGGCCAGCGGAGGCAGGATGACATGTCACTTCGGCCTTAAGCCAAACCTCACAGCAGCCATGCTTCCTGCCTGCAGGTGGCTATGCGCAGCATCGACGAGTTTGTGATGAAAGCTCAAGAGGACACTGGACTCGGACAGGTCCTGCCGGGCCGGTTGCCAGCTTCAGAGCGGCACAGACACCTCTTGCTGGACGTGATTGAGCGCCTGGCAGCGGCAGGCTTGGACCCACTGACAGCTCGGGCAGTGATCAACCTCGGGGGCACGAAGGCTCACTTCAACATTGGTTACATTGGTTATTGTCCTTGTCTGAGAAGCGCACGGGCGGGCGACAAACAGTTTTGGGCCGCATGGCTCCAGCGGCCTCTGACTGACAAGGAAATTTGTTCTCTGATGGGCACTGATGGGTGTAAACATCGAAAGTGTGGCCGGAGCGGTCAGTGCGCGACAACTGAGACAACTAGCTGGGAATGCGATTCCGGTGCCACTCATGAAGGGTGTCATGCTCTCTGTGTTCCGAGCCTGGGGCCTTTTGTAAGCAACATGACCTGAAGCCGCTGCCGCAAAAGACGGAGCAGAGTGAAGTGCTGGGGATCCGAGCAAACATGATGGTTCTGCCCTGTTTTCGTGCGACATGACATGCTGCAGTAGGAAGTTGGAATGTGACAAGAGGAGCTGTTTTTTTGCCGTGCACATGTCAGGCGAGGTCGGACAGTTCCAGCAAGCATGCATCATGGAGAGTGAAACAATTGCAAGCCATCACTTCTTGCTGCCCTTCAGTGTGCAAGCTTCGTCCAGCCTGCGTTTGCGGCCCTTGTTTCCATTCAAGATCTCGGCGCTCTGCGTCCCGGTGATGCTGCCGTAGCCTCGATATGTCCTGGCAGGCTAGCTTCGCATCAGATCACGTTCTTTTGACCTCCTCGTCATGGTCGAGCTGAGCTAACATGTGCTTACGTGGTGTGCGCGGTCCCGTCCTCACGTCCCGAATCCGCGCGAACTCCATGCCGATGTGGTCTGGGACTTGACTCATCTTGCAAGCATTGATCCAGGATTGACGTCCGCTGTGCGACCTGATAGAGTCGAGGTCCAGGGATCCCAGATGCTTCTTCGGTGGATTGAAGCTCTTCCGCAGTCTCCCCATTGCACACAGTATCTTTGCATCTCCTTGCAAGCTTGGCGTCCGAACGATGGGAGGGAAACAGGAAACGATGGTTCTCTTCGGGAAACAGCCACGTCTCCTTCTTTCGGACTTCTCCTCGGGCTCCGCAGTGTCTTGCTCGGATGGTGCTCATGCCGTGTTTCCGCGTGAGAAGGGGCCGAGCTGCTTTCAGCATCGGTTTCTTGACTGTGGCTGCACCCTTGAGGCCGGCCACACGCACCGTGTGATTGCGGAAGTCGAAGTCACCTGCTTTGAGTGCCAGGCTTTCCGTGATGCGGAGAGCCAGTGCATAGGTGAGTGTGATGCATGCCGCCAGCCAGGGCGAGTGACGGCGAACGTGACAGACCCAGTGTCGCCAGAGCTCTGGGCCCATCGCAGCTGCCTTGCCCCGAGGCGTCGAGGACTTCTTGCGACGCGAGGACTTGCGGCACGCCATGTCTGCAGGCCCGAGCCCGCTTCTGCTGCTCTAGAGACCAAGCGCGAGTGCTGGAAATACGCACGGCTCTCAGGCAAATGCACGGCAGTCCGCCTTCACCGGGTTACCGGGTTAAAGGCGGACTCCCGGGCCAAAACCTGTGTCTTGAGTGAGTTGATTGCCAACGGACTGAGTCAAAATGCATCAAAGATTAACATAGAGCGACGAAGGCTGCAACCTCCGAAGACAGCACAGCGGATAGACGTAGGCCCTAGGGTCCTCAGATTTCACGGTCTCAAAAGAAGGGGTTACATGGACAGGGATTCCAAAGGCGGCATGTGCAGCACATCCACATGCCGACTTTTTTTGCTTGTCGCTGAGTCCGTCTTAGGAATACCTGTCATTGGAAAGGCCTCCCAGCAGCGCCAAGAGAAACCGAGGAGGCATGGACCTCAGGTGTTCAGTATTGAAGCAGAGAGCTTGCCATGCAGTTGTTGGCGTTCGTGCGTGGCATGACCATGTTGAGACAGGCATGTGCAAACGATTGCCCGCAGCGCGCCCGTATGATGATGTCATGTTCGGGCCACATGCCCTTCAGAACAAATTAGAGCTTCTGCTAAGCCTTGGAAACCTGCACCCACCAACCTCTACAAGACTTTGCTTCAAGTCCTGCGTGGTAAATTCCCACCGCAACATCGATGTCTAATTGCACAGTAAAGGGGTGGAGACGTTTCTGAAAAGGCCGGTCTAACATGGCATCGTGGGATGGAAAGGGATGGGATCGCGGCAACAGCGAGCCGACTGGAACTGGAAGCGACGGGCAGGATGACTCCTGGTGGGACTGTGGCAGGAGTGGAGCGGCGGAACATGGAGCGAAGATGACTGGAGGGGGCAAAGCCGCAATGACGGCTACCGCTCGAAGAATGATGAGATCCGCGAAAAAGCCCGTGCCCCACTGCTGAAAACAATAAAGAAGCTCGAACAGGATCTGAAGCAGAGTCGAGCAGAAAACGCAGCTCTGAGCTTGAGCTTGGCCACTGTGAGCACTGCCAGTTCGCAGGCAGGGCCGGGACGGATGTCGTCATGCATGGTTCTCGTCTTCTGCGCTGACCAGGCACAGAGCACCTCTCAGCAGATGATGGTTGCCCAAACGGTGGGTCACCACACCGACAAAGCGCGGCTCGAGGCTGGTGTGACTTACGGGCTATCGGTAGGGTTCGCAAATATTCCTCGTGCCAGGAACTCACTCGCAAGCTCGAGACGAGCGAGGAGGAGGTAGCTTCGTTTGAGGAGCAGTCCCGCACCTTCGAGGCTGGAGTGACTCACCCGACAATTTTTTGGCCAGCCAAATTCATCCTGGCAGGAACTGAGAAGCAAGCTGGAGACAAGTGAGGAGGAGGCAGCTTCGGTCACAGCTTCCTTCCGAGAGCGGTCGCGGATGCTCTCCCTGACGGAAGCGATGGCCAAGCAAGAAGTGGAGGCATCCAAGGCAGCGGTGCCAAGTCTGCGGAGCCACAAAAGTAGTGTAAGAGCCTTGGTGCTCTGCAGGAAGCGGAGCGGAGATGGGAGACTGAGCTGGAGCAGCAGGCAGGGCCTCGTGCGATCTTGCCTACGCTGGTTTGCGGGACCACACAATAGTGTAAGAGCCCAGCTGCCCTGCAGGAATCGGAGCGGAGATGGCAGACCGAGCTGGCCAGTGGCCGCAGCGAGAGCCCAGCAGAAGACGCACAAGGCAGGGCTTTGTGCAATCCTGCCGTATATGCTGCGGAGATAGCTGTAAGCCCCACAAAGGACAAGTGGAAGTCCCAGATCGAGGTCCTCGTAGAGGCCGGGGACATGCGGCATACGGCTTGGCACTTTCCACTGCGATTCTTTTCCCGTATCAGGACAACGGCAAACGAAGGGCACTCAACAGTGCCCTTTCGGATGAAATGACGCGGCATAAAATCGCCGAGGATCGTGGAGGAGCTAGCAAATACATAGACTAGAGAGATGGATTGACCTTCAGGCCGCCTTAAGCCTTAGAGCGCCAGCTTCGCGTGGAGGCGTCGCCCTGCATGGCCATGATAATCGTGATAATCGGCGCTTCCTCTTGTAACCTACACTGTGTGAAAAGTGGTGAGTTTGAGAATTCTCATATTTGATCAACGGAAGTTGCAGCTCACTCGCAGGCAGAGGCTTCAGATCTGCAGCCCGGCATGACAGAGATCGAGGCTTGGGCTGGCAGAAACCCTGAACCCTAAACTGCTCTGCCAGATAGGCAGGCTGCCATGACAATCTGCACCGAGCTCCAGGCTACATCTCTGCGGGAGCACGAAGACGCAGAGGCTTCGCCCTGCACGGCAATCGGTGCTCTCATTGTACAATAGAGTGGTGGTTCTCAGAAAATAGAAGACAATCAGCGGCGCACTGGCAGGCGAGAGCAACGGAGTCACGTTCGGAGTTGCAGGAGATGGAGGCTTCGACCATAAACACAGTCCTATCGGCATCCGCTGCACATAGCAGCTGGCAGGCAGTCGCTACAGAGATGAAGGCGGCGTCTTCAAGAGGCTGAGGCTTCGCCCTGCATGGCCATAATGGTCGGTGGTTCTCAGTGTGTCTAGCAGCACGGGTGTTCTAGACGACTGAAGCAGCGTGCTGGCAGGATGTCGCGGCTGGATTGCGGCTTCAGATCCACAGCATGGAGGCTCCAGTTGACTTTTGTCGAGCAGGCAGATAGCTAAGGGTTGCCGTGATTAGAAAGCTCGATCAGGCCTCCGTGGAAAATCGGCCGTTGGTCCTTTCTTTGACGAGGCCGAGGTTTCCAAGTTTGTGGGCGACGATCGTTGGATCCCCACCCAGAGATTCGAAGTGGTTCAAAAGAATAAAGTTCGTGGAGTGGACAGTGCCACCTCCAACGGGATCAACATGGCCACTGTCGTCACGGAGAAGCTCGAACTCCCTTCCACGGACGCGAACGTAGCGGTGATCAAGTGGCCGCGGCCGCCGAAGACGCCGCTGCGCCGCTGCGTGGTTGGGTCTTGGATGAGCGGCGGGCCTATCGGCAGGTCCCGATCTCCCCGGCCCACCGGAAGTGGAGTGTGGTCGCTCTGAAGGAACCGTCTACGGGAAAGGTGGCTTTCTTCGTGATGGTCGGGCACTCCTTCGGGTTGGTCTCGGCCGTCTACAATTACAACCGCCGCTCGGCTGCGGTTACCGATATTCTAAGGCGCGTGTTCGTCGTGGTTGGGTTCAACTTCTACGACGACAAGTACGGCTTCGAGCCGGAAGACACGGCTGACAGCGCGTTCGCGCTGGCCGAGAAGGTGCATGGTGGCTCGGGGCGCGGTTCGATCAACAGAAGCTCCAGCTGTGCTCCGACTCCGACCCCACGATCCTGGGTGTGACCTACGACCTCGATCAGTATCTGCTCAAGATCAAGAAGTCGAGGAAGCAGGAACTCTTCGATGAGATTTCGATGATCTTGGAGCATGAGGAGTTGTCGCCGGGTCAAGCGGGAAAACTCAGAGGGAAGCTCATGTTCGGCGCTTCCCAGCTCTGGGGCAAGATCGGCCGGGCTTTCTTGAGGGCCTTGTCGGATCGACAGTATTCTAGGAAGACGACAGCCACGAGCCTCTCGCCGGCGCTCCTCTACTCCCTCTACAATGTGGCGGACGCCCGTGATGCATGGGCCGCCGAGGCCGCCGAGGCCCATCCCCAGTTCGGGGCCGCGGATTTCTGACGTCGTGATCTTCACGGATGGTTCGGCTCCGAGCTCGAATCCCAAAGATCCGACTTCTGAGATGATTGGGGGAGTCATGTTCACTAAGGATAACCTTCCTAGGCAATTCGCCTCGGGAGTGTCTCAGCAGATCATGACGAGCTGGTTCCCGAGGAAGACTCAGATATGCATGATCGAACTTTTAGCTGCGGTCGCCGCGATCCAGACTTTCAGGGAAGAGATCCGTGGAAAGTTGGTTTTATTTGCTCTTTATTGACTCTGAGCCGGTAGAAGCAGCTCTGATCAAAGGCTATGCCAAAGAGGACGTGTGCGAGCTCGTAGGAATTTTCTGGGAACTTGTTCTGGAGCTTAGATGCTCTGTATACATCGATTGAGTACCGACCGATGCAAACCCAGCCGATAACCCTTCTCGTGGTGATGTGGCTACAGGTCTGCTCTGCAAATGGATCACCGTCCCCTCGGACTTTCCTAAAGGAGTTTGAGGGCCTGGGAATATCGCTCATCTGATGTGTTCGATCGGAACCCCGATCACAGATCGAGTGAAGTTTTGATGATCAGACTTGTGGCCGACTCCCACGTTGCGGTCGCACAAAAAAGAGACCGCCACCTTCGGCTGTTCAGCGAGGGTACCGAGCGTGTACGATCGTAGGGTCTCGTCTCCTAATTATCGGTCTGGTGGGTAGGAATTAATTAGGAGATCAGCTTCGCGATCGTTTGAATTTAACAGCCGTGATCACATGTTTTTCCGTGGCCATTTTGGCGATAGCCGATCGGCCATACCGAAAAATTCCCACCCACTCCGCCCTTTTGTTCTTTCGGTATGGGGGATCCTCTTCGCGAAGCTCAGAACCGGGTGGGCCTGCAAGTGCTCGCTTTCGGCACTCACGACCAGCTCTGTCGTCCTTTGCGACGGTGACGGCGAAGAATGTTACGCAGCCGTTCGCCTGCCGCGCGAGGAGTGGGCTCCCAATCAGCTCACTGCTCTGCGCACGGCTTGCGATCGCAGGTTCGACATGTGCCACTTCTGTCGCGGGATCCCTTGGGTGACACCCCCGGCCCATCGCGACCGTGATCGGCACCAGCCTGCTGGGTTGGAGTTTGGGGCGGATACACCCCTGAACCTTGATCAGCCGATCTACTATCTGGTCCCGGAAGGCACGGACGCTCGCCTTCGCCAAGGTGTGCTCAGGGCGCCACCGATGGCTCCATACGCTGCTCGGCCCTTGGATCCACGGCCGGCTATGCGTGGAGACGCTCCTCTGCCGGCTCCAAAAGCCCCGCCTAGCCCAGCGCAGATCGC